TCATGAACTCTTTCATGATGAGGTGGATGTCATTTAATGTTGACAATGTTGAGCACACTTTCTAATATCTAACACCATGTTAAACATGATGACTCATCAATTTACTTTATATTTGTTTTAATTTTTTATTTTTTTTGTATCAATGAATTATTTAATTGGTCCACCTATACAAATAACTTTTTATCAAATTGATGCATTGGAGATACTAGTTTCATTAAAATTTTTAGTCTTTTAACATTATTCCAATGTGGATTAACATTACAATCACTAAATGACATGTGTTAAAAATAATGGTCTTTCACACTTATAGCATTGGAGATGCTCTAAATGAGGTGTGGGTCCCACCTAAATATATGTATTGACTAACTTATCCTTAGTTATTGGTCAAATGTGCATATTTGACCCACTATGATCAAATAATTACCAAATTGCCATTAATGATTGACCATAGTTTGACTTCATCATAACCATAGATATGTTAGATCCAATGATCCAGACTCATTCTCATTTTCTCGCATTAAGAGTCATTCTCATATGATCCTTTCTCTCTCTCTCTCTCTCTATATATATATATATAATTGCTGGCAAACTTCAATAAATTTTATTCAGCCAACAATTAATAAAAACAGGACTTCATTTAATAAAACTCTTTATGACCAACATTCATATGACAGTTACACAAGTAAAACCTTATTATTAATATTTTATTTTATAACAACTTTACAAGATTTTAAATTTTCTGAATATACAATATTAAATTATTTTACAGCTAATATTCCTATTTTGTATTATATTGTATGGAAGTTAAATAATTTATATTTATATTATACATTCAATCAAAAATTTGAAAATGTAATACACACTTTATCTAATTTAAAGGTTTTTAAATATCATATACGTACATAATATATAAATTTTTGCTTCTCTTTGTGCAGGATCGAATACTAGTTTATTAGAGTCAGCCATAATGTAATTAATGTGGACTGTGTATTTTTCTTATGCAGATATGAAGGAAATCCTGGTCTTAGACGAGTGACAAAAACACACACCGCCAAATTAATACTCGGGGCTTCAATTGGTTTTCTGGCTCTTCTTATTCTATCCACTATAATCATACTTGTGCTTCGTCGTTCTAAAGCAAAGACAACTTCACAGAGGAATAGCAAAGGTCTTTTGTGCCCACACAAATTGATCTTAATATATATATATATACTATATATATTTTTTTTTTTTCTCAAAGGTGATCCTGATGATCTCAAGTTTCTTTTGCTTGACCAGAAAATTCATGGCGTTTCAGCACTCAGCCTTTGACCGCATATTCAGCTGCACGGGGAGGATCTTTAATGGAAGAAGGTGTATCATACTACATTCCACTGGCTGACTTAGAAGAAGCTACGAATAATTTCTCAAAGCAAATTGGGAAAGGAAGTTTCGGACCAGTATATTATGGGAAAATGAAAGATGGAAAAGAAGTTGCTGTTAAAACCATGGCTGATTCGTCTAGTCACGGGACCAAACAGTTTGTCACAGAGGTAAAGTTGCATATCACATGCTGTGTATAAATACTAAAAGAATTTACCCATCAAATGTTAAGCTAGATAATAATTGGTACACTTACAGGTGGCGCTGTTATCAAGAATCCATCACAGGAATTTGGTCCCACTGATTGGATTCTGTGAGGAAATGCAGCAGCGCATGCTTGTATACGAGTACATGCACAATGGGACCTTACACGATCATATACATGGTTTGCCATAATTCATCACTCTTTGCTCATTTAGTTGTATGATTATGGATATATAACAATAAGAACCTACCACCAATAACTTGTCCACAGATCCTGACAACCAGAAGCAGTTAGACTGGCTAGCACGTCTTAGGATTGCAGAAGATGCAGCTAAAGGTAGCACCATTTTGTTTTTCCTCTGTTTTTCACATTAATTCTTAATTTCATTGTTAATAATAATAATAATAAGAATTACAGGTCTTGAGTACTTGCACACTGGATGCAACCCCAGTATAATTCATCGAGACGTGAAAACAAGCAACATTCTTCTAGATATAAACATGAGAGCAAAGGTCTCAGATTTTGGACTGTCGAGGCAGGCCGAAGAAAACCTTACGCATGTATCAAGCGTGGCCCGAGGAACAGTGGGCTATCTTGATCCAGAGTAAGCATGCACACACACACACACACACACACAACATAAGGATAAACACATAAGTACTTCAACTGTATATACCATTGACCGTGTTGTCCAACCAGGTATTATGCAAATCAGCAGTTGACAGAGAAAAGTGATGTTTACAGCTTTGGAATTGTTCTGCTGGAGCTTATATCAGGGAGAAAGCCCGTGTCAACAGAGGAATATGGTTCTGATTGGAGCATTGTTCACTGGGTATACACACTTTAAGTTCTATCACAACCATTTTAATTTTCTTGTCGGCTCTTTTATAAGGTCAAAACATTTCACTGGTTGTAAGATTTTATAAGCGACTGGCTACGTGTATCTACTATACAACACTGGTAGTACTTGAAGTTATAAAAATTGCTAATGTAGGTAGTAAAAAAAAAAGAAAAAAGAACAAAAATAGGGCATTGAGGATAATTGGAGAAAATAAAGCACAAAAATAAGGTGGTCACACCTTATTAGTTTGAGCTTCAAATATTATTAGATTAATATAAAATGAATTCCAAAGTACTTACCTATCTCAAGATGCTGCTGGTTGACTTAGTAAAAGGAATAAAAAAATGAGTGAAACCTACACCCTCGAAAATATAAATAAATAATTAAAGAACGAATAAGATGAATAAGATACACTAACATAGTACAGACAATAGTCAATTAGTTCCTACTTGTTTAGTATTTCATTGGGACCAAATCTCGTATACAAAAATCGAGTAAAATGAATCAATTAATGGAACTACAGAACTTATAGTTGGCACTTAACTTTCTATTGTTGTGTACAGGCCAGGTCATTGATCCGCAAAGGGGACGTGTTGAGCATAATCGACCCACCACTTTTGGGGACACTCAAAGTTGAGTCTGTTTGGAGAATAGCCGAAGTTGCCATACAGTGTGTGGACCAACACAGCATATCCCGGCCACGCATGCAAGAAATCATATTGGCCATACAAGATGCCGCCAATATCGAGAAAGGAAAGGATAAATTAGCTTCATCAAAAGCCCAATCCTCGAGAAAAACACTCCTCACTAGCTTTCTCGACATCCAAAGTCCTGATCTTTCTAATGGATCCTTATTCCCATCGGCTAGATAACAACTAAGTTTTTTTTTTTTTTTTTTTTACGGCTTTCACACTTTTTTTAGGGAGGGAACTGATGTTTATTCATGTTATAATGTTGTATAACATGTTATAGTGAGTAACCTTGGATGCAGGGTAATGTAACTGAAAGATGGAATCTGGTCGCTGAATGATTGATGAGATGGAGTTGCACTTGCCAATATTAATGTCTTTAATGTTTGTGCTCGACCCAAATGGTGAAAACAATGTGATTAATATAATTATCATTTTTTTTTTTTTCTGGTGAAAAAAAATTGTGTTTAAATTTAACATCAGTTGTTGCCTCTTTGTTGGGAAAATCGATCCTTCGATCGTTTTTCATAAATTTGCATGTGAGCAGAGTTGTTCTTCATGCAAAGCACAAGAGACACCTTTATGTTTCTCACGTTTTTAGCCTTGCGCCTTCTTAAGTAGTTGTTCTATTAGTGTTAAAACAATGTCGTTTTGTGTGTAATGAAATGGTATTGTTTAGTTCAGGTTGCATGGGCTTAGAGGATAAGTACGTGAGCTAAGAAATGTGTGTTGGTGTTAGGGCTGCACATTCGGTCAAAACCGAACCGAACCGACCGAAAATTTATCGGTTTTTTCGGTTTGTCCAGTATCAAAACCGAAAACTATGGTTCGGTTCGGTTTTAAACCGAAAATTTATCGGTTATTTCGGTTCGATTATCGGTTATCCGATAAAATAGAAAAATGACAAAAATAAAATTTACAAATAACAATATATACTACTTGAATTTTACCAAAACACACTAAAATGCATAAGAAGAAAAAAAAAAAAATAATAATAATAATGTCCCAAAATACAAGTTTATCAAGTCAGCAACACAGTCACAGAAGCAAAATGGTTCAACATATCAATAATTTGGAAACCCACTAAACGTAATCGTTCAGCAGCAGCTTACTCAAATTAAATTGCTCAAATCAATGAATCATAGGCACAAAAATTCACCAAAAAATTAAACAAGAGCTTGAATTGGGTGGGTGCAGCCCGTAAGATGAATCACAGGTTAAAACTTAAGAGAAGAACGAGAGATTCAAAATCAGAAAAGAAAGCGTCGCCATCGAGAGCGGCTGCCGAGTGTGTGCGGGAGCAGGAGCGACCGAGCGAGGGTCGAGGTGATTTGGGATTTCAGATTCCGATTTGGGATTTCCGACTTCAGAGCGCCGACGCCGAGCGATCGGAGATGGAGTGTGTGAATGTGTGCGCCGTACGGCAGACGGGCGGAGAAGATGGTAGCCGTAGGTAGGGTTTCGGCAGACGGGGGATGGAGTAAATGTGATAAAATGTGACGATTCTGATTAATTTCTGTGAGTAAATGACTAAATGTGACAGATTGGATCGATAAAGTCATCAAATCGGGCCTTCTTTGTGGTGGGCGGCCCGTGCTAACTTTGGGCTTGTGTTAATATGAATAATATAATGGGCAATGTACATAACAGTTCTCAATTGAAAAAACATTCCGTACTTGAGTACAATATATTCCATAAACACTCCCTTTTTAATTTTAATAACTACCACAAATTAAAAATATCATCTTTATCTATTTTTTTATGTTTTTTTCTCTTTCTTCATTCTCTCTCTTCCTTATCCTTTCCACGTTTTTTCTGTTCTTCTTCTTCTTCTTCTTCCTTCTTCTTCTTCTTCCATTTCCTTCTTATTCTTTCTTCTTCTACAAATTCATACATAAATTCCTAAAAAACCAGCCAACCAAAATAAAAAAACAAAAAAGAGAGATTGATGAATTGTTTACCTACATATCAATGAAATTAAGTAAAAAACAACACAAGATATTTCATTGTAAAGAGTATATTTAAACCTCTCCTTTTTCTTATGCCCTTGATTTCCCTAAAAAAATTAATAATATATATTATTGAAAAAAACAAACAAACATGATACGCAACAAACAAAACAACAATAAAATAACTTTCAAGCAACATAAAAACAACTAGCGATTAACAGTAACATATTCACCAACAAAACAACAATAAAAATATCTTTCAAGCAACATAAAACAAATATCGATTAACAGTAACATGCTGCTATTATCTATGCTGCTATTATCTGAAAGATTTATCTTCAACAATTGTTTACGAAAATAAAAGGCAAAAATACAAGTCACCATTAAATCTTACAAGTTCAAGAGGGCCTAATCGGCAAAAATTCACCATTATAGGGCAAGAGCTATAAACAAAGTCCAATTACTGAAAATCAGCACCAATTACACCAATTACCTGTAAACCAAGACAAAGTAAAGAACAACTAGCATAACATGCATCAAATTTCTCATGAAAAAAAAACACTAAAAATAACGAAGGAAAAAAAAAAGAAAAAAAAAAGACACTACTAGGTTAGGATAAAGAAACATAAAGAAACCTAAATTCAGAGATGTGACTGGATGCTCTCGTGATCCAATGGCGACCATTCCTCCTGGCAACAGGTGCAACAAACACCTTACCCATCATAGCTTAAATATCGGAATTGAAGATGAAGGGGTGTCGACAGGTGCAAACAGGTGCAATAATCCATCCCGATATTTAAGTTAGTAGTTGGCCCGGAACACCACTCAACACCACTCACTGGGATGATGTGGTTTCGGTGAAGAGAAATTGAGGGGGATTATGCGAATTTGAGAAGGATGAAGTACAAAAAATAGAAACACGAAGAAGAAGTACAAAAATTAGAAAAAGAAGAAGTGGAGGAGAAAGAAAACAGGAAAAAATAATAAGAGAAGAAGATAAGAAAAGGGCAAAATAAGAAGTTACAAGAAGAAGGAGAAGAAGTTACAGGGAAGTTACTAATATAATAGGGTCTAAAAATTAAAAACCTAACTGTGTCCATGAAAAAAGTGTAAATAAAACAAAAGAGTAATTGTGTCTAAATAATAAGCAAGGGTGTTGATGTAAAATGTTTAAAGATATGGATAGAGGGTGTCATTTTTTCATAATATAACATATCATTATATTGGGCTTTATTAACTTATATGTATGATATCGGTTTTCGGTTCGGTTCGGTTAACCGACAGCTTGTAACCAAACCGAACCGAAAATCGAAATATTGAAAAAATAAAAACCGAAAACCGAACCGGTTTGTCGGTTTCGGTCGATTTCAGTCGGTTAACCGTAGTTTGTGCAGCCCTAGTTGGTGTGATGGAATAACAAAATTTTCCCCTGAAAGTCTCTGTTTCTTCTTCCATTTTACGCTATGATATTCAACATCGGTCACGAGAGTCTCAATCTAATTTAGTGAAAGAGAACATAGATCTAAGCTTTGAGAGTGAAAATTTCATGTTGATAATCTGAAATGGAGCAAAGGTGAGAAATCCATGGCCGTCTTCCCGAACATCGTCTCCCGCTCCTCAATCGTTCTTCTTCTTCTTCATTTATTTGAGATATTCGTTCCAACTAATTTTCTCTTGTTTGGATCTCATTATTTCATCTTTCTATGTGTACATTGGCAATTAAATTTACACACACGCGTCAACGCAAGTCAACAAAGTTGTTGGGCGAAATTGTTACTTTAATTAGTACAAAATGATTTACTTTAATAAATAAAACTACATCGAGCTCGCTTCTCTTGAGACGAAAGACGCAAGCATAATGAAACAAATAACAATAATAATAATTATAACAACAACAATAATAATAATCTGATGAAATGCATAATGAAACAAATAACAAGAATAATAATCTAATTCATCATGAGGACATTAATAAATCAAAAGCCCTTTAATTAAGTAGAATCGGGAGACACGGATGAGCCGCAATCACGAACAATATCATAATTGGCAACTGCATACAATTCGATTACTATCCCAATAGCCTCATCCACTTTCTCCTCCAACTGGCTCACCGAAGCCGAAACCCTAACACTAAGGGCCACAACATTCAGCTGCAAGAAGACAAGCAGCTCAGCTTCCAGCTGGATCAGCTTCACCGAGTAGTATAGTCTCATAAAAAATCTCCACCATTTCAACTGGGAACACCTATGCACCATATTCTCTGCTCGAGTGACCAAGTCATCATGTTGGACGATGATGGGTTGGATGAGGCGGAGAGTTGATCTCAAACGGTCGAGGTCTGAGCTGAAACGGGCCAGCTTCAGAGTTACGGGAATTACTATTGATATCAACAGCAGCTCCAAAGCGGCTCCTAGAGCAGCTCCGCTCACAACCTCACTAACTGTATTCATAATAATAATGATAATAATAATAATAATAATAATGATATTGTAATAATAATTATAATAATAAAAATAATAATAGTATGGCTATTAATTTGGGTTTGTTTGCTAGTGCTTCTAAGATCATAAAAGCAATGGGTTTTGTTCGGGGGAAATCTAAAGAGAGGAAGAAGATGGAGAAATAGATTGAGGAGGAATCCGTGTTTTATAGGCGAGTGG